ACTGCAGCTACGCGTTTCTTATATTCTATATAATCAGTTATGTTGCGTGAGTATCTCCACTTTTTAATCATAATATAACTTGTATCCTTCGTGGTGAGGGTTACATTTTTATCCATTGTCGTGGGGCCAGCAAGCGAGGAAGTATCGTTAAAGCATGTAGAGAGTGGTCTTTTATTGGAGATTTTGTTTCGAGTGGGGCCTTTATACTCCTCATTTAGAGACTGTTGCTTTTCAGTAATTAAAGGAGAAAATGAATCCTCCTTGTTTGTATCTGTAGCTTGGGACGGTAACGAAGAGCTCTTAATTTGTTGCTGCGAGTCATTAATAGAGTTGGGACAATGTTTCGCCAGATGTCCTTCCCTCTTACATTGGAAACACTCTAAGTTGTCCGTTGAAATGAAGATCCAGTAAGAAATATCACCATAATTTACTTGTAGACTCTCTGGAAGTTTGTTTGACATCGTCCGGATGAACGTATATCTGCCTGCGGAAGCTAAGTATGTGTGTGAATCCTACTTTTATGACGGTTATAGGTGAAACGGTTCTAATCCCCGGTTCTAATTTGCTTGAATGCATTTAATATAACATTATGAGGAATAATAGGACAGACGTTAGAGAGAATAATTCGCTTGGTTTTCATAATTAGGGGTCTAACAGGAATCAATCGGTCTTTGATGAGTATGTTTGAATTACCGGACGTGAGTTTATCAACAAAGGTTTTGCCTGCGAGGTACATACATATTCTATTATTCGTAATTCTTAAAGCAAGTCGAATATTAATTGGGTTCAGAGCCTTCCCAACTCCCAAAATATGATCTTTTATAATATCCTCGTATGCATTGAGAACAATAGCATGTTTCTTCATGGGAAAATTTTCTTTTTAAGTAACACTAGCATATGAAGATGTTGAAGAAGACATGTCTTGAAGTGCATTTACTTTATCCATTGTTTTAAGAAAGAGATTCCTGTACCCATAAAAAGTATGTAGAAATATACGTTTGCCAATCGAGTTGGGATGAGACGAAGACAACACGAAACCACAACAGTTAGCACTCCGTGTAATCAGCACACGCGGAATTGAACACGTCCTACCTTCATGCGTGTTAACACAGGACTGAGCAAGGAGAGTTAATAGTGAATGTCATGAGCCTTCCCCTCCGCGGCACGCCGTGTGACAGAATGGAAAGTGGAGGAAGACATGGAGTCTCTTAGCAAACACCTACGCTGACGAGATGGGCACTCAAAAAGATTGATGACAACAATTTGATGGCTGTTGTTCACGCGTTGTGACATGACTGGAGCGCCAGCTGGCCCCAGATGTCGAACGGGAGGAATGCGATTCAGACGTGTGATAGTCGCAACGCTGGCATGCCTCACGCTCGACCATTCTCTCGCGACTCTGTGTACTAGTGGTCGCCTGAAATAAAAAAGAAGCGCCTATTGACAACGGGCCCGAAAAAAGAAATACCGTGATGTAGAAAACGCTGAGTTCTTATAGGGCAATATAGAGTGGCCGTAGAGGCACTGCAAAAATCAATCAGGGAGGCCAAGTTGCGGGTGTGGGAACAGCTTATTGGCACTCTCAAAGTGCTCCGTGGGGTCGCCTGGTGGTCTAAGGCACCCCTCTTGACTGAGGCACTCGACTCGGAGACTCTGGAGCGGGTTCTGACTGCCTTATTTCCTGGGGCACTGAGTGAACAATGCCTCGGCCCCGTTCGGACTGAATACTCTCCATCCCCACCGGTGACGAAAGAGGAGCTGGTTGCAGTGATGAAGAAGATGATGGCGCGCAACATTGCCCCGGACCCGGACGGGGTTCCAGGTCAGACACGGTCACTGGCTCTTCGAGTCCTTAGTGACAGACTTAGACGTCTGTTAAATGTCTGCCTGCAAATCGAAGAGGTTCCCTTGGGCTGGAAGCAAAATTAGTCTCCTTCAGAATGCCGGCCGATTTGTCTTCTTAACGAGCTGAGAAAGCTTTCTGAGAGGATAATCGCGACAGTTTCTCCAGACATTTATCCCAGGAAGGGACCTGATCTGTCCAATTTGGTTTCCGTATGAGACGCTCAACCATCGACGCGATCGATCACGTCAAGTCTCTCGCGGAGTCAACGATTTTCCAAGGCGGGATGCTAACAGTGTCTATCAACATAGTCAACGTCTTCAATTCCTTGCCCTGGATGAAGATAAAATGAGCGCTAGTTCAACACCGGGCGCTTCCCTACTTAAGGAGGACAACTGATAGCTATTTCTCTGAGAAGGCCATAAAATACCCCATAGGGAGAGGTGGCCTGGCCAGGAGAGAAGTGAACCACGAGGTACCACAGGAGTCAGTTTTCGGCCTCTTGCTTTAGAACAACGGATTCAACACGGATCTAGAGGTCGCACTTCCTATCAGTTATCCCCTTCCCCCTACGTTATCTACTACGCGGATAACACAATGATCATTGCCGAAGAAAGGTATTTGGCCCATACGCTTAGACTAACCGAAACTGAAGTTGCAGCAGTGACCACTAAAATCTGAGGACTAGAACTGAAAATAAAGGCACACAAAGTCGAGGCTATTTAGTTCCACGGCCTCCCTCGGTCGCAAAACCCGCCTCAGACATAGCTCAATGTGGACGAAGAGGATAGAAGATGCACTGAAGTACCTTGGACGGCCGACTGAACTTCAAGCAGCATTTTTCCCGTTTGACACCGAGAGTAGAGGGTATTACCGCCTTGCTAGGCCATCTTCTACCCAACATCGGGCTGGAGGAACAGGTCTGTCGCCTCTACACCGGCATAGTAAAATCTATGGTCCTCTACAGGGCGCCAATCCCAGAACTTCTCGGCCAGTCAAGAAAACATCAAGCCACTGCGTTGGATACAGCGATTGATGGCTATCCGAGTTGTGCAAGCGTATCGCACAATTTCGTTCGAGGCGGCGCCTACGCTTGCGGGAATAATCCCCTTCGAATTATTGGCGGAGGTGGAGACAGAGGTGTACAACCCGTGGTGTGGTATTTAACGTACCGGTACCTGGCATGAAGCCCTATCAGACATGGTCCCCATGGGCACGGGACTAGGATACGTCCGATCAACGCGTTCCTGCATACACGAAAACTACCAGTAAGCCACAGAATGCAAGCTCTGAGAAAACCTTGGTGAGGGCGGGATTTTTCCATATTCCTACCGGCTCTGCAGGCCGGCGGCTGAGCTGTAACTGACGCAGCTCACCCGCCGAGGCTTTACTGTACTTTAGCCTGCGATGTAGGCTCGTACCAGTGCCCCCGAGAGTCCAACCCAAACGGCCGGCAACGGAGAGTAAACCCTCCGTGGACTGACGCCAGCCCCCTCGGTACCGGTGATAAGTCCGTACTAGTATATCTTTCGCAGATAAATCTGCTCCCCTTTGAGTTGCTTGCACGAAACCACCAGGGTGAAGGGACCTTTTAGTCAGCTTTCACGACACGCAGGTCATACGTCGGGCGTATTCTTTCGCCTCACCCGAAAATGAGGGGCCCTCTACCCGCAGGAGTCGGAGACAGAGATGTACAGATGGATGCGGGACCTCCGGGAAGGAAGATCGGTTATTCTGGAGATCGAGGTGAGGAACATGAGGCACCGAGCATACCAACAGGCGCAACAAAGATGGAGAATGGAACGTTGGCGCTGGTTGACGACGAGCTGAACGAGGTGATCTTGGCTAACTGGGACCGCTCGCTAGACCAAGGAGTCATCAGCCTTACTTCACGCAGGTGCTCACTGGATATGGATGCTTCGGTGAGACCGAATTGGTGCGGGTACAACGGCGGAGTGTGCGAAGTGTACAGCAAAGCTGGACTCTGCCCAGCATAGACTGGAGGAGTGCCCTGCATTCGAGCAGCAGCGCGATGATGCCTTCAAGGTTTCATTAGGGAATACCTATCGCCGACGGCGATTATGAGAGCACTACTAGCAGGAGGAAGCCAGCGGAGGGCGATCAGCTCCTTTTGCGAAGAAGTGATGGCCCACAAAGAAGAAGCAGAAAGAAGCCGTGAGAGGAGAGATCCAGCCAGATTAGAAAGACGTCGCCGTAAAATGGCTCCCGGCTGCCGTACCAGGAGTGACTCCACTCCCAGCTGAAGATGCGCAGCGGCCCTGCTATATCGCGAGGTGGTCCCATTAACCCCTTGGGCCGCCATAACCTCCATGGGCAAGAGATGGAGGGGGGGAAGCGTTTCCCCACTTCCTTCTACGCATAACGGAAAAAAAGAACATCGCGCGGAGGGTGCAACAACATCTGTACCCTCTAGGTATGTGCGAACACCCATGAGATAGACCTGTTCGGACCTATTATCCTGGCCAGTATGATCCTGAGGAAATGCGACATTGAAGGAACCAACAACTGCCATCCTGCAGAGGAAGAGTCTCAATGGGATAAATACACGAGGAGCTCAATTTTTGGCCCCAGAGCTCTCTAATGTGCAGAAGCTAGGTCACTGTGGAGGTGGTGATTCAGTCACGGTGGAGGGATGCATTTCTCTGGCTTTAGTCCTACTTCCAGGACCAATAAACCTGGTACCGTTAGGCCCGTAATTGCGAATATTACTTTATGAGACTAGCCTTTGCCAATAGTCGAAAACGACCTTACATGATCAGGAAGGGCATCTCTTATATAAGAGCTGACTTCAACGCGCCACGATAGCCAGTAAAGTAGCACACAACACCTAGCAAGTTACGATATAATGAAAATGCGACCACTCTCACCCTAGATTCCCAAATATTTTTTTATAACTATGAAAGCGTTTTCGAGGAGGATATCTCAAACAAAGCAGTCGCCTGCTGAGTCATCTGGACTTAAATCATGGTCCAACATCTAATCGGCCGAATATTTTCTTTTTCGTAAAAATAAATAAAATGTAATATTACTTTTATACATAAATATTGTTTTGAAGAAATATTTATACATAAATATGTATGAACATTTCTTCAGTTTATATATATATATCTTTGCTTCTGGGAAAATTTAAAATCTAAACGCATGAAAAGACCTATCCGCCATTCGATGAAATAGAACCCAACTTACACTACTTTATTAGTACTTAATCTTTTATTCTATATTAAGATAGGTTTGGTTATATTTTATGGAGTACAGGTGCAAGGGAAAAGCTTCGTGTTTAGACTTTCTATTTTCCCAAAGGCAATATATAAGTATAAACTAAAGAGATATTAAGTTTTCATTTTGTTATGCGGTACGAAGATTCCGTTAAAACATTCCATTGTAAGGAGACCTAGGAGAAATTCTTCCATCCGTGTAATAAAACGGAATTTATAATTTCTTATTATCTTTGTCAAAGACCTGTTTCCCAATTTTTATTTCGGTGTTTCTAAGAAGTTCTGAACCGTAATGGTAACAATCTTATAAAGTCCTCGAAGGAACAATAGCAATATAGAACTGATATATATCCGATTATAAATAATACTTCATAAGTTTTGTTATTACAGTTAAGGGTCAAGGGTCTCCTTGAGGGTTTGCGTACGTCACACTGACGTACCTGGCTCTATAAAGAATCTAAAAAGGGGAGAAGTTCAATTTATTATTCCGAATTGCCAATCAGAGAGCCAAAGCACCCTCCGAGGTACATAAGCAACCGATTGACACATCTCGAGTCAGTTCTTTTTGGACAATATCGCTAACAATCAATCGTGACACAGTTCCATTTGGTACAATCACGCAACCAGTCAATCGTCATCACCATCATCAAAATATATCACTTAATCACAAAAGCTTCGTCGAAGTTCAACCCGAACTATTCTTACTCTCATAACTGTTCATAAATTAAACGGACAGTACGCAAAACGAATATCGAATCCGCGGCGTAACACATTTATTTTTACAGAAAAGAAAGAAAAATATTTGGCACTTGCCAAATTACTTTATGAATTATCTTAATCAAAAGATTGACGTTTTCTCCTAAAATTATAAGAATATATTGTATTTCTTAGTTTAAAACAAAACAATAAAAATACATTATCTTTTCTCCCAACTACAATATCTTTTCTCCCAACTTTCTCTTTCTTTTTTTAATGATATAAAGTGTTCAAGGAAAAGGTTATATCAAAGTCACTAAAATGCATTTACCGATTATAGATTTATTGTATAATTTGTATATATATAAAACATATCCGAATAAGCGTTCAAGTATTCACATAATAGAGAATTTAGATAATGCTAATTCAAATAATCGAATAAATTGTATCACTGTATAAAAAAGTAAATACAGGTTCTTCAAAAATCTGAAGATCTAAGTCTTTAATTTATTTTTTTAATAAATTATTAGATATTACTTTTACTATAAGTATAAATAATAAGTATAAATAATAATAAGTATAAATAATACTATTTACTTGTATCAGTAAAGAATCATAAAAATACATTTCTTTTATTGAAATATCAGGTATACAAACACTGATTAGAATAGGAGAAAAACGAAAAATATTTAATATAATCAATAAATTGCGAATCGTTATGCAAATTCAGGATTTTACAAACATGTATAAAAAAAATAACCTCCAATTAAGATTGGTTTCACCTATTAAATATTTTAGCGAATGATTTACTTTAGATATTTTATGTATTTTTGCATATAATGTGCATCCTCTGCACTTTTGTCATTATATAAATACAAAAATATTCGCAGTCTAATAATTAATGTATTGAATGTAAAGATAATGATGAAACTTACCTGACGATGAATAAAAACGACGGAACCGAGAAGTCGCCATGTACCACCTTGTCGATCCACATGGAGCATTCGCAATATTTGTAAAAATCGAATGCCTCTTATGGCAGACGTTGCAAATACCTGACCATTGCTTCCCACTGACAATACCACCATAGACGCGACCACCACAATTAAATCTGCAGACAGAAAAAACAGGAAAGAAAAATTATGCCTATGAATCCAAGTGACGTTCAGATCATGATAAAACGCATTATATTTACTTTTATGCAGAGTAGTTAAAATAAATGCTATATTTAATATAGACGATAGAGTTATTTCTTTAATATCGGGAAAATAAAAATAATATACCTATCCTTTTTTCTAGCATTTAATTTTTGACATACTTTTTATTTTAATATTTAATAATAAAAAAATTATATTTAAATAACCAATCGAATTGTAAATCAAAAAATAAGAATACATTCTTTACTTTACTTTATTTTTAATTGAAAAGATTAAATTGGCAAGTTTTATCATTCTGATTTTAGTTTTCAAATAATAGATTTAGTTTTCATATAATAGATACTCAAACTTCAATATTCAAACTTCAATGTCTCAAAATTTCCTGTTATATTAATATCTATTCTGGAATAAATTTTTTCAAACCTTAGATACAATATGCAGCATCTCTTCTATACTTATATAACGCATAATATTTCGAAATGATTAAATTCCATAAATATCATTGTAACTGAAATGATATCGTGTATTCACAAGTACGTTCCCATGGCCGATGACATCTTATTACATCGCTATTCTGCGATGCTGATTATGTGCTGCATGAAAATTAAGTGTGCATAATCAATCTTACCGATAAACGCACGATACTATTAATATTCGGTTTAATATCACGCTTGTAAAGTACATTTCATCGTCAATCACGTCGTTCGTTGCGAATAATTTTGATTTTCGTTTTTGATTGATCATACCTATAATTTACGCAATTTAATTATACAAAAAATATCGATGGCAAATTCATGACAAATAATTAATGAATCAATTTCAGTATTATTGGTTAGAACTTTATCAATATGAGACATTTCAGTAATGAATTTCTTGTACAAAATTAATATTATAAGGTAGCATGAATATGTCAAAAATGAAATAAATTCTGAAAAGAAAAATAATGTACTCAATAATTAGTATATCTTAACTTTTAAAGCTTTTAGAGGCAGCGTATAAGCACTTAATTATCTTATTTTCATTTTTAAAAATAAGAAAAAATGCTAAAAATTAAGCATGTTAAAAGAATTAATTACAGAAATCTATATTTTTGTCCTTAACACATACAATAAGAATTGAAAGTAAGTATATTTTGCAGAATTAGTTTTTATTACCAGATTCAGATATTTTAAAATCAAATCTAGTTGTATATAAAGTATTCTAAAAGCTCAGTTAATTCATAGATCTTTCAAGACCAAGATTCAAAGCACATCATGAAGATGGAAGGTTGATCATTTTAAAGTATCATAAAGGCGAAAGATTGATCACTGTAGAATATTTTTTAAGTTAATTAAATACTCGGCTACAATCTTTAAATCTAAACATAAAAAGAAAATTCGCAGGAAATAAACAAATTTCGTTAAAGATATATGCCCAATATTAACTTGTACTAGAAGGATACTGTCTCAGATTACTCAATTTATTTATAAAGATAATATTATACTATTGTTAGAAACAGATAAAATTTAAACACACCGCGTATAAAATCGGTACACGTCATCTAGATTACTGTGACTATGTTAATTATTTTTTTCTAATTGTTCGGTCTTACCAAACAAGGGGGCCATAAATTTTCTCTACTACAACTACCCCTATTAAAGGGACAAAAATCAATATATAAATTCCCAACTTGAAAGACGCATTCCTAGGCAGTACCGTTGGACCAAATGGCAATTATAAATATTATTTTATGGGGCAATTATAAATACATCGCTTAACGGTACTTCTTGATTAGCTTACTATTTCTGCCCAACCCCGTAACCGGGAAGAATATAATAGACTAGTTCTACAACTAGTTCTACAACTAGTTACTACTACAAGTATATAAGACCGATCCACAAAAAATCAGATTTACTAGTTTAGCAAGAGAATTGAAGCTAGTCCAGGATCGTCAGATCACCAAGCCAGGAAGTATTGTTCAACGAGACAGATTTTCGTTTAGTCTACATTCGTTACTTACTTACTTCCATCAAGTCATTCAAATCATTCAACTTAAACCTTGTTTCTGACGAGTGAATTAAGATCTAATTTAAATCAACTTCGTTCACCCTTGAAGAGTGAACTAAAATCCAATCAAACCTAACTAATCAAACTTTAACTTTGAACTAGCTGCCCTTCATTAACATTGAAGGCAGCAAGCTACCAATCAAATCTTCGTCCAATATGTTGATTCAGATCGGCTACACTAATAAAAGATAAGAATAAAATGATAAAAAGTATCCATAGGGTACTAAAACTGGGGTACTGAATCTTTCTAAAATAGTTGCTTTTCTACTATTTTCTATTTTGTTCCATTTTATATGTTTATTAAAATTTTTTACAATTACAGCATTTAAATTTTCAAAATTTTTCATTAGATCATGATAATGAAATAAAAATTCCTTTACAGAGAAGTACTCTAAAAAGAATTAAAGATATAAAGAAACAAATAAATGTATGCTATGATATAATAATCAATGTTACTATACGATGCTACAATAGTAGTAGTAATCGGATATTATTTATACTAAAAATTAATAACTATTTCTTGCTAATTAAAATCGCATTATGGAGCAGTTAATTTAATTCAACATATTTTCTTCTGTTATTCTATGGAATAAAATAGTATATCATAGCAAAACTTCTTTCTGGAGAAAATTTATTTGAAATATGAGCTTGTTAAAAGCTAACAGATCATGCTAATAATAAACTAATATTTTTACTAAATATTATAATATATTATACCTATATTCATTGTACTTATATCATTGTATGTAACGAAAAGCGTACAATAAAACTGGAATTTAAGTTTATAATAAATAATTTTTAAAAAGTTTTAAAAATTCAAATAAATCGCTGATCAAGTTTCGATAAATTTTAATTTAGTGTTGTAAACTTAAAATAATTCAAGTGAATCAATAAATTTTCCTATCAACTTTCTTAAGTCGATTTATACAACTAAAATATTGATTGATATTCGATTGAGTTTAATCGAAAATATTTAAAATGAATAATACATCAGTGATTAATCAGAGCAGAGATACGAGTTAATAGTTATAACATCAACAGAGGTTTTCTTACATAAGCTACATAAAACCGACATAAAAAAGCTATTCTCACGACAATCGGACAACACAAATATTGGATTATTCCTCGGGCACAGAGCTAATTGCACCAGAACTATATGTGCATTAGCGAAACGCACTCACCTATGATACAAATCGGTTTCCGTATGAAACGGAGTCTACCGCAGCAGCCCATGTATTTCGATCTGCAACCTGCACTCCATAACCTCACCATGTATTCCACACCAAAGAACACCACTAAACATATTTCCTGTAAACATAGAAGAGAGCACAATGTAAGAATATCAAGTCAATTTTTCAAATTTTATAATTAAAAACAACACAAAAAATATTTTTTGGAGTCTTCAAAATGAGTAAGTAGATCGACATTAAAGATTTAAGGTTTTTAAAAGGAAGAGGGAAACATTCGTATAAGAAAATCATTGCGTGATGGACAATAAATATTTAATTCAGCTTAAAAATTTTATAAAATTAACATTGTTTTAGCTTCATTAATAGTATCCAGACTACACTACTTTGATCTGAATGTGCCTCTTTGGAATATTTTAGAATTACTCAAATTGAAATAAGGATCGTTTTTCACAAAAATAAGACATTTGGAAAATTTAAGTATTATCTATATATCTGTATATAGAATGCCTATGAATCATTCTTTCATTTACATATAAGTTGTATAATATTTTTAATTGTTAATAAATTAGGTTTATTTATTTTGTTACATTAAATGGAACTTTTTATAATTCAGAAATGAAAAATAATGTCGTGTAAGTGACTATAGCGTAAGGCTTTTCCTATTTTCCATCATAATTGTTAATGTTTCGGTCTCAGAACTTAAATTTCTTTCTGAACCTTATTTATTATCTCTGTTAAAGAGTATTAGGATCTTACTAATATATACTCGATTCTTCGAAAAAAGAAAACAGATGCTATTAAGATGGACCGCCGGAGATCAATTAGAATTAAGAACTCGCGAAATTATAAGTTTTTAAAAAAATAAAATTCAATTCTCTACTTATTGTTCTGATCTGAGTTTGTTCATTATAAAATTTCAAGAAACAAACTAAAAATTTGAGAAAAGAAATTATAAATATACGATAGAAAAAAGGTTTTTTTTTTAAATTTAAAAAAGGATTTTTAAATAGAAAAATGACTTACGGAATATTTTCTACTACAGATCTATATAGCTAGTATTATATGCGCTATTCAGCAATCAGTATTGAAAATAAGTCAATAATAAGTTAATAACTAACATCTGAAATAAGTCGTTATTTTTAGTACCAAAAATGGTTTAAATGTATTAAACATTTTAAATAAATTATGTCACATTAGATGCATCATTAAATGCAACTAGATTTTTTGTATCTCATATTGTTTAAAATTTCAAGATTATTTCAATTGTCAATGTATATGTACTTACATATGGTAAAACTAATCGCGATCTATCATCATTAATTGTAATAATTTGTTTTACATTGTAACCACTGAGCGTTGTAATAATTTCTCTGTTCTTTTTTCAGACATAACGACAACAATCGTCATTTAGATGTAATTGCAAAGACGCGAAATATACTGTATTATCCAATTTGCAATCGACTTATTGTTTCTCTCGATTAAATAACAATAAAAGTAAAGTTAAAAAACTTTTTATAATTCTTTATAACAACGTGTAAGTTTTATATGTGTTTAGCATTAAATGTATACGTATATTTTCTTTTAAATCTTTTCAATTAAAAGAATTTTCATTAAATACAATACATCACTCTTCACAGAGGATGTTGTGTCTTATCCGATGATGATAAATCTCCCAAAATCAATCAACCTCAGTGATAAAATGTTTGAAAGAAAAGTGTTTATTAAAACCAATTTAAAATTGGCTGATAATTGTTATTAAATTGATAGTTTCACTCAATATGATTCTATAAGTAATGTGTCAAAAGCTAAAAACATGTTTTTTTAGGTCTCTTTTTTATAATACTATTTTGCTTCTATACTGATTTTTTTAAATCAAATTTCAAATTTTATTTATTTTTTTCTTAACTAATGTTTTATTTAATTTTGCTGTATTGTTTTTAACCCTTTGACTACGGTAGATTTCTATTAGCCGTACCATACGGTAGGAATTCAGTCGCAGCCTACACCTAGAACGGGGAAATTTTTCATTAGGTATGCATTTCTGAGAAAGATATTAAAATAATCAAAACACTGAATTCCACTACATTAAACTAATATTATTTATTTGCTCGTATTCTGCATTGAATATACCGGGCGCCTATAGGCGCCTTTCGTGTCATCGGATCAAAGTAAGTTAAGCGCCTACAAGCCTCAGTACCATAAGAGCAATTTTTTTACGCAACTTCAAGCATCAAAGGATTAATTGATCGTAGTTATATATATTTAGAAATTCATGTAATTTTATTTGAATAGGAAGTCTATCATAATGAAGCAAATAGGAAGAAAATTTATCAAATACTGAAGCTTGTTATATTTTCTCGAATACAATAGAGACTCCCGTATCCGTACCCCCATTATTCAAATACCCAAATATACGGACGTTCTATCATCCGGACACTCTATTATCCGCATAACGTTTCATAGCAATGTTTACATATATGATACAATGTATTTAGATGTACATAAATACTTTCTTGTGTTCGGCCGGTTAAATGTAATCATATCAATTCAGTCTGAAGCAGAAAAAGGTTCGTTTCTCGTTGTGAAAGATCAGCTCCCGGTCATGAAGTTAATAAAGAACGCATTACTGCATTTCTTTGTGCGAATGCTATCGAATGCCTTCAATTTCCAATTCTGATCATCGGAAAAAATTAACATCCATGCTGTTTTAAACATGTCAATATAAGTGCAATGCAGTTGTATAGAAAAAACAGACAAATGTTTGGATGGACAGTAACATTTTTGTTGAATGGTTTGAAAATATTTTTATACCCAAGATTAAAAAACATCAATTAGAAATTGGTCATAGAGGAAAAACTTTTTTGCTGGTAGACAATGCTAGATCGCATTCTACATGTGACATTGTCGACATTCTTAACCAAAAGGACGAATTTATAAAAGTTATGTTTTTGCCACCTAATATAACTTCATACAGCCACTAGATCAAGGAGTAATTGAGTGCTTCAAACGACTATATAGAAAAGATATGTTTAAAAAACTTCTGTTTATGTTTTAATTGAATGAAGAGGGTGTGATAGAGCAATATAAAAAAATTTAAAAGACAGTTTTTACATGGTGGCAAATGCGTGGAGAAATGAAATAAAAGAGCATGGAGAAAACTTTTAATGCATGAAATTGAAGAAATTAATGAACAAGAAAGAATAGTAGAAGCAGATATAACTAACAGAAGAAGCTGTCATTACATTGCGTAGAACACCAGGATGTGATTGTGACAGTGATGATGTAATGCAATGGTTTCAATGCGATAAAGACAATAGTAGTGATGAAGATAACAAATTTTACACAAATAGAAGCAACAGATGAAAGTAACGATGAGAACGTGCCTTCTCATGTCGAAGCACTTGAGTCTTTGATTTGAGGCACAACAGGAATGTAATTTTACGCAGTGATTACAATAAAAAATTTATGTGATTTAGCAGCTAAAAAGATACGAGGTAAAAGTAATGAGACTGGTTTTATAAAAATGTTTATATTTCACTTATTGATAAATTTACATTATTTCCTTCAAAATAGTTTCCTTGAGTAGCTATACACCTTCGGAGGCGTTGTTCCCTCTACTGATAACAATGCTGGAACTCTTCTAGTGAAACTGCTTTCAGTTGGTCGGTTATAACCATTTGAATGATGATTACGATTCCAAAAGGACGACCTATGAGGTGATTTTTTATCTTTGGAAAGAGAAAAAAGTCACATGGACTCAAATCTGGGGTTTGATTCAGTTTCCAGCTGTTTAAGGAGGTTCACACACACAGATTTGCGTGTCTTCACCTGCTCCTCTGTGAGATTCTTTGGAATCATCTTCGAACAAATTTTTCGCATACCCAAGTTCTTGGTTAAAATGTCGTGAACAGTTTCATGATTTAAATTTAATTCACTACCAATTATCCTAACTCAACGTCAAGGGATGATCAAATCTAATCGGAATCTTCACTTTTTCGACGCTTTCTTCCGTTTTTGAAGTGCATGGTCTTCCAGAACGAACTTCATCTTCGACATTTTCAAGATCATGCAAAAATGCCTTGTGTCATTTAAAAACTTGTGTCTTGGATAAAACTTGATCACTGTAAGCAAGTTTCAATTTATTGAATGTTTCTGTTGCGTTGTCTTTAGGTTTAACACAAAATTTAATAACGCTGCTCGATATGCTGCTGTTCCATTTTCGTAATGCGTCGTTAGAACGTACTTTTATAAAACTCACTGTCGAGTTTGTGTTAACTCAATCGAATTGAAACTTATACTGGAGATAGAGTAGGGCTGTACGTCTCAAATAGCAAAGCGGTACTCATACAGTGCAGCCAAACTTTCTAGACACACCTCGTATGAGGCCCTTAGATGTTGAAAGAAACTGTCAATTTTGTTTATTTCTACTTGAATAAATGAAGTTTAATGCAAAAGAAAGTGGTTGTTCTATTATCCAAAAATTCCACTATCCGACCACTTTTGTCTCCCTATTAGTTCGGATACGGGAGTCTCTACTGCAGTTAAACTTCTCTTGGTTACTGGTCCCTATGATGCTTATAGAAACAGTAGATAAGCGATCATATGTTGACGGAGGGTACATTGCCACGAATGTACACTCATACACAAAGTATTCGAACGCTTACACTTCCAATATTCAACTAATGAAATATGTATATTAAATTGAAGCATTTGATGTAATGTGACACATATAACAAGAGATGGACCTACAAGTAAGACTACATAAATAAGATTAGAAAATAATTCAACGATTTGTACCGTTTTTACAATACATTTATTGTAAATACGTACCAGAAGCGGCTCACTAAAGTATTCGAATGGAACATTTAACAATTATTTAAATTGAATAATTTAAAGTTTTAATAGGAAGTTGATCCACCTTTGGCTTTTATAATGGCTAGGTCGGTAATTCTGGTTTTCCATTGAGTGGACTAACTTAGAAATAGAATATTTGAATCTATTAACTGCCATATTTCAATAATATTTCGTTGTAACGTTTCTTTCAAAGTAATAATGTATTTCTCAATCTTCTTTCTACTTCATCCCATAAATGCTCAATGGGGACAATATTTAATCGGGATTTTGCGTGTAGAACATTATACGACACCCATTCTTTGACTATTTTAGCGGTTATTTTGCTTCAAATCATTGTCCGATTGAAACCAATAATTACTTGATAAATTCAATTTTGATACACTGTCTCTTAAATTTTCATATTAGGTTTACAGGACCCGTCAATTTGACGGATCTCAAATTTTGAAAAGAAATACCCAAAAAACTATAGCATTAATTTTAATCACTTTGTATCATAAATTAATCATTTCACCAAAGAATTTATACACACAATTTTTTTTTTCCTAAGCCTTCTAATTTTTAAAATCTGTATGTAGTATACCTATCTCTACGAAACCCGTCAAATTGACCGACTAGCTAATTTCATAAATAATCCTTATATATTTGCTTTGTTCGTAAAATCATTCAATCCAATCCCTTATCTCGATCGCGCCGCGAAAATGTAAACAAGCGGATTATATGCCTGAGTGTTTACTTACTATATAGTTATTGTTATTGTACTTCTTATTACATTATTATTGTTATTGTTATTGTATTTTTTATTACATTATTATTGTGTACTTTTTAAAATGCGTATTTTTGTTTACCCGTCAAATTGGCGGGTTCTCGTAGAAATAGGTATATAAGAAACGCTAGTGTTAAATACTTCGTTTTGTCCATTATTCCGTCGATGAACACAACGTTTCCCACTCCACTGGATGCCATGCAGCCCCAAACTAATACAGATCCACTGTTATGTTTAATAGTCGGCCCTAGATTTCGTGGTATAGCGGCCTATAGTCCCTCGAGTACGAGTTTCGAACACCGACTTGTACAAGCCGCAAGTGGCTGTACGCCTAGCGTCGAAGTCTAGCAATATTCAATGTTAAGCAAACAGAGTGCGGAATACCGCTAGGATGGGTGATGACCGTCCAGCCTAGCGAGTAATTATAACAACAAGCGTCTGGGGTAAGGGGTCGTTGCCATCAGTTCCACTGATGAGTCTAGGCAGCGACTCTGAGACGAAACGTACAACCTTTCTCCTCATCTTACCCACTTCCTACATTACCTTCAATCTCATTCCTTCATCCTCGCACGCATCAACACACTTCTAACCTTTCACGCAGTTCTAATTCTGTATTCTGTTTCCTCCAGACATTTTTATGTCCATCACTACCAAAAATGTTAAAATTACTCCCATCAGAAAATAACACAGTGTCTCAAAACGAATTATTTTTATAAACAAATTTTTCGGCGAAACGTATAACTTTATTTTTCTTGCTAATAAATGATTTTCTCCTTAGAACTCATGTATGTAAACCATTATTTCTTAATAACACAATTCTGGATACACTTCTTTCTGAAACTGCGTAGCCACTAATGCCAATTGTGATCCAGAAATGAAAGGATCTTGTCTGATTTTTCGTATAATTGTCCTTTCTTCTCTTTCAGTTAGCTTTTCTGGACACCCACAACGGAGCTTATTAGCAATGTTACTTTGTGTATTAAATTTTTTCACAATAATGAATCGTAGACTTGCTTTTGTTTACAAAGGTGCAATTTCACCGTGTAATTTGCCTTCCTTATACCAATTTATTATTAATTCTCTGATAGACTTGCGGATTTCTTACGATTCATTTTATGTTATTAATAATGAAAATTATGACAAAAATTTTGAATACTGTTTCGCTGAGACTATCTGCTAGTGAACTTAGTAATGTTTGTTTACATTCTATTATCGTTGGAAATTCTCAGTTGTCCAAAGTTCGAATACTTTTGTGAGCTACTTTTGGTACGTGTTTACAACAAATGAAGTGTAAAAACGGTACAAATTGTTGAATTATTTTCTAATCTTACTTACATATGTCTTAACACCCATCCCTTGTGTCACATTACATCAAATGCTTCAATTTAACACACATATTTCATTAGTCGAATATTAAAATTGTAAGAGTTTCGATTACTTTCGTGTATAAGTGTATGTACATATGTACACATGTACATATATGGGCAAAATACAATGTAGTAGTAGCAACAGTTTCTCGTGAATGTTTCAGAAATCAAGGCCAAGCGACGATTATATGTATTGCGAAACTTGCTTAAAATCACATTCCCGACATTCAAAAATTATTGAAATCGGTAGGATCATAAATTTAATAAAGATCAACTGATTACCGGACAATATTTGAGGGAGCATCGAGCGTTCCATTAAACGCTTATTTCTGTACATAATAGATCCTGAACGCTGTACATAATAGATCTTTTGACATAGTCAATTCATCTATATGAGTTCAAAATTCAACAAAAACAAGAGCGTTAAGAATCGATCTTTAATATTAAGGTATTTTTTTGTCCAGACGTGCGTGCGTAGCGTGTATGTGTGTATGTGTTCGTTTCATTCTTCATCATCAATAAACTTTACTGAATATTGTTTTGAAAATATTTTATCTGTGACATCCAAGAACGATAAAAACAATGCTAACTGTGATAGAAAATATACTAGCAAACGACACTAATAAGATTAATGCGGAATCATCTCTGTGCCAATAAAATTTGATCTATCCGAGCACCATTGATACTGTGCGATTCAGAAGATTTTTATTTTCAGTTGCATATAAAGAAGTAATTCCGCAACGATGCCGTAAACAAATCATTAAAAAAATATCGTAAAAAAATAATACAAAATCTTTGTATTCATTGGTGACGGATACGTCACTTTTAATTAAATAAATCATTTCATTTCTTTTCATGAACTCTTGAAAATTGATTTCTAGTAAACTTTTTTCTAAACATCGACTCATTAAGTTATGTATTGTATTACCGTTGTGTATCAATATGAACAAAGCAGGCGTTGCATCATTGCGTATCGAAATATAATACGATAATTTTTTATTCATATGAAAAAACAATATTTAAGCTATTTTCCTATGGAAATACCATTAGTCCACGTAACTGTCTAACAGTCAGGCCGAAAACAGTCAATTAAACAGAGTTAAACTATTATACCGACATCAGACGGGTAACAATTGAAATCATTGACACAGATTTCTCCGACACTGTTTTCACCGACAATATTCCATCGCCTCCAGATTTGCCCGACAATAGTTTTAATCGACAACAATTTTAGCCGACGACAGTATTAACCGACAATGTATTGACCGATGACATTACTATATTTGTTCATTATTGCTTTTCCAATGATAGCAATATTTAAGTTAGGTTTAGTTATATTTTATTTTTAGTTGACAATATAACTTCTGCAATAACAGAATCATCATTTTCTGGAAATGGTCCAGACATTTTTGTATAATTAACTATTTTCACTAACAATGAGAATGATTATAATCTGTCCTGTGTTAACACGCGTGAAGATAGGACGTGTTTAGTTCCGCGTGTGCTCGTCGTATGTAGTGCTAACTGCTGTGGTTTTGTGTTGCCTTCGTCGCATTCCAACTCGATTAGGTGCGGCAAACGTATATTTCTACATATTTTTTATTCGAAAGATAAATTCCTAGGTACAGGAATTTTTAAAACAATGGATAAGTAAACGCACCTCAAGACATGTCTTCTCCAGCATCTTCATATGCTAGTGTTACTCAAAAAGAAAATTTTTCCACGAAGGAACATGCTATTGTTCTCGATGCATACGAGGATATTACCACAAAAGATTATATTTTGGGAGTTGGAAAGGCTCTGAACCCAACTAATATTCGATTTGCTTCAAGAATTGCGAATAATAGAATATGTATGTACCTCGCAGGCAAAACCTTTGTTGACAAACTCACTCATTTTTGTTAAATAATTATGAAAACCAAGCGAATTATTTTCTCTAACGTCTGTCCTCATAATGTTACATTAAATGCATTCAAGCAAATGGGGATTAGAACCGTTTCACATATAACCTTTATAAAAGTAGGATTCACAAAAATAGGATTCACACACATACTCAGCTTCCGCAGGCAGAT